AGAGGGTTGAGATGGGCAGGAATATTTTATAGCAAACCAAAATAAGAGGAGGAGACAGACAACAAGCCTCTAAAGCCCCTCAGCCTGTGCAAGAGTTCCTTATCACTTTTACAGCCTAGTAAGGGATTGTTGCAAGATACATCAGCATTTTGCAGCAGACGATGGCAAATCAGAACCACACTGACTGAATATTTGTGATGGTTTTTAGCTTACGCTGTAAATATTTGCTGAAAGTGATAATGTCGGTCATTACCCATAAGCAATTATCTCAAATGTATAATTAGATGTAATAAATCCCTCCCCTGGGCATGGGAAAACACATCACGAAAATCCCAAGCTGCTTTAAACAGATCCCTACCCAAGTTTTCCAGCCAAAACAATTTTGGGATTTCAGACTTGTAAGCTAGGCTGCTGTGAATAGAATATACAGATTCTTAAATCTGCATTTTCATTGCTTTTTCCCCCCTGATCAGCTGGGCTTTCTACTATGCCTGTCTATGAGAACAGACATAGAATTGTAGGCTCATTTAGGTTGAAAAAGTCCATTAAGATCAATTCCAACCACTAATCAAGCACTGCCAGGTCCACCACTAAACTATGTCTCTAAGTKCCACATCCACACATCTTTTAAATACCTTGTGACAACAATTTTTAAAAGCCCAGCCCCTATTCCAATGGCCTCATCCAGAGTTTCCCTCCTCAGAAAAGATGTTTTTGCAATTACGGACACTGTGGTTTGCGGTCTTTGTGCAGGTTAAAGGACAGACAGGGAGGGGTGAGAGGAAACGAAGGTTTATTTCTTTGATGCGCTCTTTTGCTGTTGTGAAAATTCCACCCGTTCGAACTTCATCGTTAGTGGAAACTATTATTTTACCCAACTGAGCGGGCCAGAGCTCCCTGCCTGCTTGTTAGCCTTCAGGCTCACACAAACACAGCCTCACCAGCACAAGAGATGTTTGTTCTGCAACTCGTCTGGCTACTATAAATTCCATCTCCAAATGGAAAGTATTTTAATGTTATTTTGCCAGTTGGAGTTACCCATATGTTGGGCCACACACATCCRTTTCGTAACATGCCCTGCTCGCTGGCCTGACTGTGAGGAGACCCATTGCACCATCAGAGAGATGAATAACACCATCGCTCCAAGAACTGAGCTCTCCTCGGAGATGGGAACGTTTGCTCCTTGCACCTGAGGCAGCGGAGCTGTCACTCGCTGCTCACTCTCCTTCTGCCTCCCTGCTCTGGAAATACCTGATTAACCCACCCTGATTAACCCACCCTGATTAACCTGGGCTGATACTGCTGTGACACCACAGAACAGAGGCGCTGCTGAGAGCCTGTCACCCGGACAAAGCAGAGCAAGACAGGCAGAAAACCACACAGATCCCTGAAAGAAATGAGGAGGAGGAGGAAAAGCAAGATGTGACAGGCAGATGAGGGAAACTCGCAAGATGTTATCTGACTAGGCAGAAAAACAGGGAAAACTAAAACAGAACAGTCTAACAATACCCCTGTCACCACCAAGAATCGTGAGAGAGAACAGGACAGCAAAGTATTGGTTGTGATGCGTGRCTTGATAGCAAACGCCCTGGTGCCAGGACACGCTGATCAAGCTTAGACATCTCATAAAATGGTGTCCCTCTGGAGCCACAGTGAAGCCTAGGATGGTGAAAACAAATGAGAGTTTGAAGAATGAAGGGRCACTGTCTCTGTTAGGCAGGGAAGAGCAAATTGCAGAAAGCTGAAAAATAAAAACCAAAGGATGACTCAGTGACCTGAGGGGGAAACGGGCTGCTGGAGTTCCCATATATCAAGAATGGGGCAAGAGAASAGCTGATATTGCAGGCAGTCAAATGAATGTTCTGGCTGTAAAAAAAAAGATTGGAGAGCTTTAGCTTTATGGAGCTTTGGACTTTTTTCTTTGGGAGAGGAAACCCTTTTGATGGCCAACATGAAGCACTCACCTACCGGGTTCAAAACTGGCAAACGGAAAAGATGGGAAGCGGTAACACCAGACACCTTTTTCTGAGCACAACGCATCAAGCCTGCACTTCCAGAACATGAAATAAAACAGAAGATGGAGCTGTTCTGCCAAAGAAGATGAATGAGCATATTGATACCATAGAATGATAAATACCAGAGATACTGWACCAGGGCTGAGGGTTTTGCGAGGTCATGCGATCTAGTGAGAATGGTGCAAYCCCATACAAGCCAAGGAGTCTGGARACACCAGGTCCTACAAAGGGCAACACTGTGGAAACACACAGGGCAAGGAGAAAGGGGGCTAGGAGGAGCTAAGAAGATGAGGGAGAAAAAGAATGAAGAAAAATGGATGATAGAATTTCGTGGAGGAAAGGTCAAAGATCTGAGGACATTGTTTCAATTTCTGATTTGAAGGCCGTGAAAGTAGTGGAAGCCAAAAAAAATAATGTAGAGTTAGAACTGACAGTAAATTAATGGAGGAAAAGAAATCCGCAGAGGGGATAAGTTTGGCTGAATGACTATGGGAYTGTCTCAGACAGTGCTGTTGAGCCTCTCACAGCTGCACTGTCTCTGCCCAGAGCAATGTGAAAACCTGAGATCCSTTTTGAGCCTCCAGCTCTGATACRACCATCACTATCTGCATTTGCAAACTCCTTGGCTTGAAAACCAAATCTGGAATGTAAAGAAGAGAAAAGCTGCCTAACACAGTCTACAGAAGTGTTGTGAAATCAGCTGTTCCCTTGCCCCCAAGAATAACAGAACATTTATTCATTGCAGAATATTCKTTAGTTCAAAGGGATGGAGATTTCAGGACTCCATAAAAGCAACAGCACAAACAAGAAATGAGCAGTGAAGGGATGCTGCTTCTGGACTGAACACCTGGCTGGGTTCATTTGGGGTGTAAGATGGGGACCATACTRACTTCTTCAGATTCAGGTCTGTGAATCAGTTTCAAGCCCTTCTACAAGGAGACGACCAGTTCTCTCCAACGATGCCAAGGGGATAAATTGTTTCTTAGAAGAGGCAGAGGAAAACACCCTGATCCAGATTGCAGGATCAGAGACACTGCTCTGAGCATGCAAGTCTTACGTTTGGTAACTGTTACTCRAAAGGAAGTGAGAGCAGGGTCTCTCTTCCTGGATCTTGTAGCAGCAGGAAGAATCAGCTGTGCGTGTTACTCTGAATACTAAGAAAACAAAACAAATTGACTCGGAAACACTCGGTATGAGCAATTCTGCTTAACAAACCTAGAGCCATGAATTGAATTGGTCTGCTTCCTCTGGCTGCGTTACAGAGAACACCGAGTGACAATTAGGATGGGGGTCATTAGATGCACACTGAAATTAAAAGATACACGGTGTAAGGAACAGTTATTGTACAATGCCAAACAACATGAAAAGAGGCATTTGCCCTCCGAAAGGCCACAACATTCAGGTTGTACAAATGCTTTGGGAAAGAAATCAGYACCAAAATGCATAAAAGCTGAATGTATGGTGTTCGGTCCTTTTGCGGAGGCTACCAGAACGCCAGATGAAATTACGCTCGCAGTAATGCAGAGTTTCTCTTCCCAACTTAGCGGTTTTCTCAGTCTGCTTCTTCTTAAGAGATGCTTTGAAATCTGACTTCCCTTTGAAGTTTCTCGAGTACAGCACGACATTTATTTAAGGTACAAACCGAACTGTTTGCTTTCCAGATCCCATCCGCTCTTTCTTCCAGAACCCGCTCTTCCCTTTTCCCAGCCAGCCTCATCCATTTTCCCCCATGCCAGAGGGGCATCAAAGAGA